CACCCATCTTACTTGTGCCCCATTGTATACACTCAGACATTCCAGGGTAAGGCTGTGATCTTTATGAGATTTCCTTGAATACTCATTTCAAGGAAGCTCTTCAATAATTACTTAGAGCTTACAGTTCTCTATTTTTGAATTCTGCATAGTAGAATTTCAATTTTAACTTCTACCACACGAGGGCATCCCTTACCTTCAAAATAAGAAATGCAGTAGAGGATCCTTTATTTAAACTTTACATAGTAACATGGCAGATCAATTTTTCCTCAACTCAAGAAAGAACAGCCCTGTTTAATTCTCACACAAGTGTGTAACCACAATGAACTGACACACTGCTACATGCTGGTATTTCCTTTAACACACTGATATTTCCTGCTTCCTCCAGCTGCACTTGCAAAGCAAGACTATTCTTAATCGTCGCTTTTTTAACTGGCTTAAACTAGTCTCAAGAAACCATCAGACAATCCTCAAATCCTTGAAACTATGGAACATAGTGTTATAACATAACAGTGTTATGGAAACAAGGCCTGATAAAGCAGCAATCAGCCCCAAACGTTTCCAAATTACATTTACCTATAGTGAAGCTGGGGAAAATGCCTCACTCCAGGCAATACAGCATCAAACCTGCTCAAAAATGTCTACACTACAGCAGTCAAGGCATTAACACAATGGATTAGGTAAAACTAGAGCACTTGTATTTTAAGTGAAATCTGCAAAATTACTAAATATCAGAAAAGGAATCAATGAGTTAACTTAAGAGCTGTTTGCACAGAACATTAAAATCTAAACCCTTACATTTCCTACTGCTATGTTCCCTCTCTACATCCATTCTTTTTGATGGCTAGCTGCACATTTACTCAATAAAAACATTCCTTCTATTACAATGAGCAATCTTCTTAGCATGGCTTAAAATATCTTACAGACACTAAAGTTAACTATCGGAACTCCACATGAAAAAACAAGTAAATCAAGAATCATTAAGTATGTTATGTACTTCCTAGACTCAGGATTTTAAGATACTACCTCAAGATTTATGAATAGATATCGCACATACCAAATACTGCAGCTTTCCCAGATAAATGTCCTAACCAAGTTATCAGAGAACAACTTTGTGAGAAGCGTTCCTTGTATCTATGCAGTTTGTGTTTTCCATATTTGAAATACTAACACATTAATGTTTTCCAGATGGATCAATCTTCTTGTCTAAGCACTTATAATGGAAGATAAATCCCAGAACACAAACCAAAAAAAAAAATCACTTTGCCACAATCCTCCAAGTCAGAGTTAACCTTTACTTCCACAGAAAGAGAGGACTGCTTACCAAGGTTATGAGGTTAAACCTTTTAGGTTCTGACAAACCAACATGAAAATGGCCTGCAGAGTGGCAAGCTCCTCCCAGGGAAATCTTGTTGGCAACGGAAAATTGAGGTTCTCTAGAACTCTGAAGGGACAAGAAATTTTACAGCAACTGCAACCAAGATCTTATTATTATTATTATTGTCACAAGATTAGCTTCTGCCACTGCTTGACTGGCAGATTCATATACTTGTATATGCCTGCATTACCCACTGGTTCTGCAGTTCTACTTTTTAAAAGAAACACCTTTAAGTTACGAGGCAGTCAAAACGCACAGCCCAACCCTGGTTAATATTCTGTTACACAACTGACCTCCTGAACTCGCCCCCCCTTCACTCACCACCCCAAAGATTCCATGATATTGCTTGTATTCGGAAGTTTTCCTTCCTCTCCCAGGTAAAAATATAAACATGGCAGTTAAAAGTCTACTTTGCAAAATACCAACATTAGAAACGCTTCAGATTTCTTTCATGTGCAAATTTTGTCTTGAATATACCTATGTGCAATTAAGCCTTTTTAAGTACAGCCAACATTTAAAACTTACTTCCAGATATAAATAATACTATGTACAGTAAGAAATTGAATCTAACAAGATAAGAAGGAGGCTGTTAGCAGGCACTCTCCCCTACGCCAAGATGCATGTGAACAAGCGCCATGATAAACCTCCAGACACAAGTAGCAGGGTACGTGCCACCACAAGGCAGCAACAATGGCATACCTCATCTGGAGCAGATGAAGAAAACTGGCAAACTCACATTCAGTAAGACAAAAGTTTAAAGGGAAAAAAAAGTCTTGCATTTTTACTGATCTCTTTCAGACTTATGCCACTGTGGAACTCAACTCTAAGTTTAATTTTTGCCTGAAAGGCTCAAAATAAAGGCGCACAGTTCTTTCTGTGAAATTGAAAGAAAGCAAAAAACGTAAGTTTGCCACTTTATAAATGCATACATGTCTCAGGTACCTTGCTTTAGAAGCAGAAGAAACTTTGCATTAATTGTTTTAATTACCATAGTATTAGAAGTTACTTTTAAGATTCACTGCAGTTCATACAGGAAAGCCACTTCGAAAAGATATGGCTTACACTGGTAGTCAAAGCAGCTAGCTTTTATTTTGAGGAATTTAGTAAGTACAGAGAATTTGCCCGTCCCACTGATTTCAGTGGGAGCAGACCAACAAGAGACACTAGTTCAAGTGCATTTGTATTTCATTGACGCAAGACATGATTTAAAACTAAGCTCTATCATCTCTCTGGAGAAGCTACTGTTATCAAAAGGAGTAGAGACATCAAGAGTATGGAACATCTGAAGCTGAAACATGCTCCTTTCATCAAGGCGTCTACTAGTGTAGACAGCATGCAATGTAATTTATGAGAACTATGTAAAAAGACAAAATGGAATACGTGTTCCATATACCAGAAATTAAATTTTTAAATAGATCAAGTAGTAGTCAAGAGGACATCTGTTCGATCTCCTCAGGGAGCTGAAAGGTAGGAGGGTGATGACAATTCTGTTTCTAGCTGCTCTTCACTTTTAATGTTTCAATAAGGTAAGCACTTTCAATGTGCAAGTCCTAGCTGTAGTTACCACAGCGGAACGATGTATCCTGAGCTCCGTCCCATCCTGCTCATCAGGTGAGCCACTCAAGCCCTAGAAGACAGCCTCTGTAAGGACAACCATCTGTGCTAGGAACGTACTTGAAAATTCACAAAGGGCTCATATGCCCCAAGAATAATTTTAGTTATAAATACCCAATATATCTTTGCAAAAAAAAAAAAAAAAAAAGAAGAGGTTTTTAGTTCAAAACCAGAAGCCTTAAACATACCTCAGTCTTCAGAAGCACTGAGCACCCACAGACTCCTACCAAAGATCATAGAAAACATTGGGTAGGCAGAGGGAATAAACAGAATAAAACTAGCCATCTACCTACACATGTAACTTCCGGGCAAGTGATTTTAATACATTCAAAAAGAGTACATACAAATACAGACAAAAGAATACTGGTACTTGGTCTTACTGAATAGCAAGTATTTGAATAGTCTTAAAACATAAGGTATTTTTAGAAACTCCCAGATCATGTTGGAAAAAAAACCCAAGACCAAACCTTAAGAGCATCAGAACACAGTCTATAAATAAGCAGTACCAAGCATCAAGCATATTTTGACTATCTTGATGCTCAAACTGTAATTAAGAGCAACGTGAAGCTTTGAGTTATATCCTTTGAAGAGTAGTTCACACTGACAATTGTAAGTTATGTAAAGTAACACTTGCAAATTTTCACATCCTGAGTGACTACAAGCAGACATTAACAACACAGCAAGAGGCAGAGTTCTCTCAGACACAGCATGAACAAATTCAAATTAGATGAGTGACACTCCATTAAATGAAGCTAACACTCAACATGCTATTCCAGTCTCGCAAATAAAATTTAAGGACATGAGACTGATTTTTCTTAAAAGCAGTATGTGGAACCAGCTATGAATTTTCTTTCAAGTCTGAAAATTTAACACGGATTCAATGCAGAGAACAAGTCTAAAGCAAAGCACTGGGACAAGCTACAGTCGTTCTAGCTGCACTGGACAGGAGTCCCAGTACCTGTTGATTGTAGGTTAAAAACCACATAGATGCACCCACCCCATGCCTAGTAAATCTACAAATTAAGAATTCACAAACAAAATAAATACAGTGTCACTAAAACCAATAAATGAGTTATTTTGTTTGCATCAGCTTCTGAAAAGCCAGATAAACACTACCAGCTTTGCTCAAACTTTACTGGAAAGAAAAAAGTGGTTAAATCTAGGAGACCGATTACTCTCTCTTTAGTTCCAGCTTAGGGTGACCAAGGTCTTTTTGATACACAGGAGCCTTTCTAGATGAAAGAGTAAGATTACGGTGTCAAAGCTGTTGTTAACTACCTTCATACAGTTTGATATCATTCCTAATGAAGTACATCTTTAAAGATTCTATTTTGTGCTCTTGCAAAATTATTTGCATACAAATAAAAGCTTTTACTCTGCTAAACAGAATTCCAGCAATACATACTTATTTACAGTTAAAAGCTGAGCTTCCACTTCTAAACTCATGTTGCTCACCTTAAGGTTGTACTAACAGACAGATTGATCTGTTTTGCTCTGTAAGAAGTACACAGTAAGAAACAACTTTCAAACAGACAAGTATTCTACAGATGGCATTGAGGTTTGGTTACTATGAAAGTGGTACCTGTTGTACCCAGATTGCCGAAGTTTTACACCACAGCACATGTGCAACATTCAAACAGAAGTTTAATAATAATATTTAATATTTCCAAGTCTTTTTCTCCCCCCAAGATATTTACAGCTAGCTTGAAACCAAAGTGCTTTACGTGCCTCCCTCCTCCCCACCCTGTCCCCAAACACTAAGCACTCACACACTCGTTACTGTAGGATTGCTCATAAGTGATGCACTGCTGGCATTTTTTCCTCCATTCTGTTTACAAAAAGAAAAGCATATAGCATTTGTTGTAAAAGTAACAACTTCAAGCCTATTGACTGTGATAGTGAGCCTTTTAAAGGAATTCCTCTGATTTTTTAATTTTTTTTTTTTTTTGCAGCATGGTTCTACTGTGAATGCTGAAACTCAAGGTAGTTTCAACACTGATAAAACCCACACAATAAGAATACATTTATCTTTGGCACTACAGCATCACAACTCCAATGTCTACAAGACCACAAGTTGATTTTTTTTGCATGCCTTCCACGCTCTCCCCCCCCCCCTTTTTTTTTTTTTAAGGCAGAGCTATATAACCCACCACTGAAATGAAATAAAACCACTGACGTTTCAAACTGAATTCTTAGAATATAAAACTGCTGTTAATAGCATTGTATGCATACATGCTTGTACCTATAGAACTAGAAGTACTAGCAATTCCCTTCAAAATAGTATTTACTCAGAGAGAAACTTGTATACAAGCCACCAAAAGACTTTATTTTCTCAATGTACACGCATTCAGTGCATATTTGATGCAGAAATTGGTTACACATACACAGCTGGTTTTCATACTAGAACCAAGTCCCAACATGCTTTTGTTAATTTTTTATTTAGAAATTTAGGCACATAAATGCCTAACTGGTCAAAGACCAATGACAATTGAGAATACTTCTGTTTCATTCAGTCATTTACTTCATACATTTCCGGCTTAAATGCCAAAAGTCTTATAATCAAATTGTCACAAACAAGGACACAAGCACAAAGAAGGAACATGTCATCCTCGCTTCAAAACAAAATCTTGATCTGATGGATTTGTTGCACTCAGCTGAGCTCAGATAATTGAAACGGGAGGAAAGCTGTGCATTTTTACTGCACCGTGGCCATTTTAGTGCTGCAAGTTTGGCTTTTTTGTTTAATATCCTGCTTAATTGATTGATTTAGTAACCGAACCTCAAACCACTAAAATCCAGAAATAAAAGAAACCATAGGTTTACACTGAAGTTTTAACGATTTTAGTTAATGCATTTTTTCATAACACAAATTATGGGTTAACTTTATTATAATAAAACCAAAAATGTAATTCACCTTTGCTAAGATGTGTACTGCCTACAGCCATTTAAATAAAGTATATATTTAGAAACGAAATCTTTAAGACGCCTGTGTACCTCATGCAGGAAATAAATGGAGTCACAGAATGCAGTATAAAGTATCACTAAGATACTTTGTTATGAAGGTGTCTTCCCACAAACACAAACCAGAACAATACACGTTATAGAAGATAATGTCTTTGGGTTATTTCCTATGCTTAGACAATTTTTTTCCCCTCCAAAAAAGCTTTATATAACTAGAATAGAATTAACAAACAATTACACACTTTGAAGCCTAGCTATTAACAAATTCATTAAAGCAAGGAATAACAACATTCTTCCTCTGTACAGTAATATATAGATGAGAATTAGCTAATTAACCAACTTCATATTTGCAGAGATATTATCATCACTACATTGAGTCTTAAAAGCTCAAATTGAGTACGCTCGTTAAAGTCAGTAAAATGTCACTACTAGTGTAGTAAATGCAATTACAGGATAAACAAACTAAGCCACTACTTACTGTTTCGTTCAATACCTACCTCGTTTCTTGTTGTAAATAATATTCTTACACAACAGGTCATTGTGACAGAGTACCACTGGTGATCCTAAATTTGACAGTCTTTCCTTCATCCAGGCCATCTCTTCTTGAAGAACTTGAGGACTTGGAATGTCACTTAAAAACCTTGTCACATGTAAGAAGTGTGAGTGTTAATATTTAGTACTGTATGTTTCATACCAAGCATTTGTGATGGAATAAGTCATTCCTATTTCAAATAAATCAATACACCTTCTCCCTAACTTGAGCACTCTTTCCTCTGGCACCACTACAGCAGTCAAATTATGACAATTATTTCCCTCTGTCCTCCCCAAAACCAATTACCTAATGATTGTCTGTGCTACAAAAATGACGGTAGTCCAAAAAAATCAGGAACACAATCCTGCACATTTTTTAAAGTGTGATAGCATGTATTTAACTCTGGTTTTGCTCACATTACGTTACTTCCTTCAGGCAGAATACAAAGTACTATATGTATCTATAGGGAAGAAATTAGGATTCATTTTTAGTTCTAGTCACAATAAATATGCTTGAGTAGGCATTTTCTTTCAGACTTTCAATTAATTACTCAAATTTTCTCAGTTTTCTTAATGTTATGTTGTAGAAACAATTTAAATAACTTTGCTAGATCATTCTTTAATTACACTGCAGCAAGAAACATAGTTGGCATCAGTGATTTCAAAGCAGCTCTGTGAAGAATGTTTTTAAGCTGGAATTTGCTTTATGAGTAATATGAAGTTTGATGATATTGTACAAACACTTCCAAATTACAGTTTTAGCTTAAAAGCTGTATCTCCCATAGAATCCCCAAGAAGCATTGTCTTTGGCTCAAGCTTTAGATTACATCACAGAAATTTTATTTACATTAACATAAACGTAAAACATTGCTCCTAGTTTTGCCTTCCTTTCATCCCAATCTTAGAGTGACTGATGCTAGAACCCTTCAGAAATATTTTCTTAATTTAAGCTCCTAAGAAAAGAGAGTTTGATTTACAAATCCAAAACTATACTAGGATGCTAAAAACAAATCATAATTAAATCCTTAAACTCAGGTGAAACTCTGTAATAGCACGAGTCTAGAATGGCTGTGTGGATACTTTTTCCTCCTCTGGAGGGGAGCTCATCCCATTGCCCAAAACAGTCTTTGATTAATTTCACTTCTATACCACTCAATTTTGGACAAATTTATAAACTGAACAAATACAGATCAGAACAAACAACAAGCAGTACTCCTGCAACCCCAGGAAATATGCTTCCAGTATTCACCCCAGAACAACGGGTCTCAGTTTGGGACAGTGATGGATCTCTTAAAAGCTATTTAGACACAACTACCTGAAGAAATACTTCATTTGGCTTTGGTTCTTTAAAAAGAGTAAAGAAAACTACCATCATTTATTAAGTGACTAAACCAAGCAAGAACTGTACATATACCAAATGAATTAAAAGTATCTCCTCATCATATTTGACATTTATATCGTTATTTCAGTATCCAAGAGTATGACAAATCAAAATTTTATGAACTTCAACTCCAATATTACGTGGCACCTAAACTTTTTTTTTAAAACATTCTTCTACCCCTCAGCCAGAAAGAATGGGAAATTTGGAAAGCACATAATGAAATACCTACCTTTTATTTACTTCCTCATCTGTAAATTCTGTGGGTATGAGAGAGAAGTATTTCCCCATCTTCAGCCACAGATTAGATTTAGGGATCCATCCATTGTGTGCATGAATAGTATGGATTTTAGCAAGCTGTCTGGCAATGAGTCTAAAAAAACCAAAGTTTAAATTAATGTTGTATTTGCAAAACCTGACAGTCTTTATCACATTTTTCCCTTGTAACAAGAGAGGACAGCTACAACATGTTGAACAGAAAAACTGTAAAAAGGCAGCAAGGGAATCCAAAGAGTAAAAAGAAGCAGCACAGCTATAGTGTAGCATCTTTAAAGACTCATCTCAAAAGGTCATTGGCAGCACTACTTAAGGGAGGGGAGGCAGGAGGGACTGGAGTTCAGTTACAGCACATGTACTTCACCTTTATTTACAGTCCACACTTCAACTTGCTTACCTTTAGGAGAATTGACTCAAATTAGCTGCCATTGTTAGGCAAATACATCGCAGTGCGTACACAAAAAGATCTTAAGATATCAGCACTTTCTGTTCCCCACTCAGTTTAAAAAAAAAAAGTATGTCTTCATGGAAGGAAGACTATCTTGAACTTATTCACAAAAGGAATGTACTAGAAACAGAGCTAGGAGTACTTGCTTTCATCAAGTCCAGTCCCCTACAACTCCACCGTGCTATATGATCTCCCTGATGGTAACGCACATGTCAAATGCTCACAATAAGCAGACTTATGAGTAGTTAGTCTTCCCATGAAGCAGCAAGGATCATGTGTTCAGCACTGAAAGAAAAATGATAACTAAGACACAGGACAGTGAGCTGTCAGACTGTGAACATCAACTTAGTAAAAGCTTACAGAAGCATTTCTTTTCTGCCTGCCCATAAACTAAGGTTGAGATCCTTTGGGCCTGAAAAAAATAGCACAAATGCATCATAGTACTTAAATAATGAGATAAAAAAAATGAAAAAAAACTTACCTGAAAATATCTGGATTGCATACATGCTCTGGATCCAGTGCTTCTCCCTGCATGAACTCGTAGCACAGGCCATTATTGAAAGTACAGTAGAGTTGAGGTGCACAGCCGTGAGCCTGCAGCACACGGAAACTCTTCACTTCCTCATCTCGATCTACTAAAAGCTCCGTCTTATTTCCATAGATCCTGACTAGAACCACATCGTCTGTTATGTCACCCACGTAGCAGCCGATCAGTTTATTGGTGATTCCATCAGTGAACAGCTGAAAAGTAAAAAGAACGCAGGGTTATTCATTCTGTAGTTCACACAGCACAATTTTTTACCGCACTGAACGCGAACAAAAGGAATCTAAGATACAGGAAAATCGTGGAGAAAATAGCAAACATTTTTCCCCATAATACAACAGAAGAGAAAAACATGAAAACACACGCTGCAGTGAACTACAGAAACCCTACGTGTAAACAAATAGCTGAAAGCTCAATATTGCAAAATGAGTTTCCACATAACCACTCTGAAACCGATGGATTAAAATGGCTGAAATAACAGCCCCAACAAGGCAGCAAACCTAAACCAGTAAGAAAACCATCATGAATACAGGCGGCACGAAAACAAAAACAATTCTGAGGCACTTCAGAATTTCAGTATTTGCTGAACTCCTCGAGTTCTAAACTACTCCTTTTAAAAAACAGAATTCGGGTCAGAAGCAGTTCAAGTTCAGTGGTTATCTTCTTCCCACAAATCAGGAATAAGCTCCTTACCACCAGTGCAGTTTGAAGCAGCAGGCATTCTTTTATTCGGTGCCAAAGCACAGGGGATCTTTCCACCTAGTGTGCACACCCAAAGATGCTCAATACTTTGTTTAGATTAGTACAATCTATACATACTCATGGCTTTTCCAGGAACAAGTATGCATATTCATCTTTTCTTCCTCAGAACTCATTATCCTAAGGATCCTCCCCCTCTGCACTAATTTGGTTTATCATCTCAGTGGTGGTGGTGGTCTTCTAGGACCCTCTGGTGGTCATTGCAGTTGCTAGATGAGCAACTTATTAACTCACTACCCTTATTAACTCACCAACGCCTGATCACACTGAAGATAAAGCAAGTAACTCAGCAAGTAACTTTCTACAAAAATAAGAACATTATGTTCACATCTAATGACAACCTACCCACTGCCCTTCAAATAAGACGGAAGTATGGAAACTACAAGTTTCTAGCTATGGAAAGGCCGGGGAGGAAGGGCAAATGGACCAAAAAACCCCCGCTCCTTAACTGCTGCTTCTCCTTCCACATTTGATGAGGCCTAAAATAGTCATAATACATGCTGAAATCTTACAGATTCTACCAGACAAGCAGACTAGACCCTGAGTTACTGGGCTGCATCTACCCAGTTGCATGCAGTCAAGCATTTGAAATCACACCCAACACCTGCAAGAGCAACACAGCAGCTCTCCATCTCCTCCTACAACCTGGGACAGTTTTACAGCTCAGAAAACAGATGTTTGGTTCTTTCAAGCTCTATATGCACCGTCAACTGAGACTGAATGTTTAAGAAATTGCTAGATGAGTACTACCTGTATTAATTCTGGCTGTTAGGTGACTCAAGGGCAAGAGATTAACATTCTCAGGTGACAAGCAGCATCACAAACAAGAATGCTGATGTTTTCGTAACTACTGAACAGCCTACTGCAGTTTTAAGAATAAAACAGTCAACAATTTAAAGTCAAGGTTCTCACAGCAACCACAATTTATACTTCAGTATATTATTTTTTAGTGGGCACAGTCATGCCTCTTCATACCTCTTCTCCCACTCTGTTGCCCCCCAAATCCTAATTAAAACTCAACTGAAAAATAAACTCACACAAAGCACAAAACCTCTTTCAGGATAAGCAGCAGGAAGTAACTTCAAATTGGTTAACATACACAGTTTTCCCTTGGGTGGACATCCTGCAAGTTTAGTTTGACACCATTCTTTATGAATTGCTTTACCATTAATTCTCTGGCACATACCAGAAGAATTAAGTGGAGATATGGTCTGATCTCTTTTATCAGAACTTTTTCAAGCTATGGAGGTCCTTGAATCTGAGAGTAGCTTTAAAGACAACCCTGAAGACTCCAGATAGAATTTTTTTAATTCATAATTGTAATAGAAGTCAGAAAATCAGCTGAAAATTGAAACCTAGTTATCAGAATTAGAATACTAAGTGTTCAATGACAACAGTTTGAATTGCTTATTCACACATCAACCCACATTTCCTCTCCCTCAAACATGAAGTCAGGCCCAAAACAAAAATACTGACAAACGGAGAGGGTCTGATGCATTTCAGACCTTACATTAAACATTAATGTTTAAAGAGATGTTTTTTCCTTTCATTAAAATACATATCAACTACAGGCGACTTCTCTACAGGCTTTATCATTCCTTAGAACCTTGGACAGTTTTGATTGGTTTGTTGGTTTTGGTTTTTTTTTTTTTGGTTGGTTTGGTTTTTTTTTCAAAGCCAAACAAATTAGAAACTTTGGCTTCCCCCATGGTCCCCATAAGAGGTAACCTTTATTTTGAAAAGTAAAATAGTATCCTTCAAACACAAGCAACAGCTTATTTCCAAATCTCAGGGATTTGGAGAAATCAAGCATCAGGAACATTTTATTTTTTTAATTCCTAAAGAAAAAAAAAAAAAATCAACCTGAAGTTGGCTCAAGTCTTTCCATTTAGAAAAGACAAGACTTTCACAGTGGAAGATGCTGTATCTTAGCTATCATGCCTTGCCTTCCTCAGCACCCCTATGCTATGAGATGCACAAACTCAACAAGAAATAGCTCAAGGTTCCTGGGCAGAGATGCAGAATGGCAGAGGATATGAAGGTACTCCATTTTCTTAACCAGTTATGAGCGCTTCATCTTGCAGAAGTAGGTTCAGCAAATCATATACCTTTCATCTACAGAGGGCAACCACAAATTCAAATAAACCTGCTCGCAAAGCCTCCTTTGATTGACTCAAAATTAAGACCTTACAATTTATGGACCCATTTTATTACTAGCTATTATTTTAATAACCCAGAATAGGAGATAAAAGAATTTTGTCTTAAACAGTCTTCAACTGCAATTAATTACAACATCAATCAGCACAACTAAGAAAATTATACCATTTAGCACTAGAGATACTGGTTTTCACACTGAAATGAATACAACTGTACTCTAACACTACCCTGTTCTTTTGCGTAACACTTACGCAGACGTTTTAAGTTTTCCTCTGTGAACACTCACAATAGAAAAAAAAGCACATTCTTGCATTCAGATGGAATTTCACATGTGTTTTATTTTATGCCTATTGCCTCACCTGTCACTGGGTACTGAGAAGAATCTGGCTCCCTCTTCTTCATTCCCCCCCATCAGGTGTTTTACTTATTCACAAAAGCCCTTTAAGCTCTCTTTTTTCCAGGCCAAAGAGTCCCAATGCTCTCAGCCTCTCCTCACAAAAAAAGATGCTCCAGTGTCTCAAACATCTTCATGGCCCTTTACTGGGCTTGCTCCACAGAGAATCACAGAATCCCATGGGGTTGAAAGGGACCTCTGGAGATCATCCAGTCCAAACCCCCTGCCAGAGCAGGTCCACCCAGAGCAGGTCCCACAGGAACATGTCCAGGTGGGGTTTGAATGTCTCCAGAGAAGGAGACTCCACCACCTCCCTGGGCAGCCTCTGCCAGGGCTCTGCCACCCTCACAGGAAAGAAGTCTCTCCTCACGTTTAGGTGGAACTTCTTATGTTCAAGTTTGTGCCCATTTCCTCTTGTCCTATCCCTGGGCATCACTGAAAAACAACTGGCCCCATCCTCCTGACACCCACCTTTAAAGTATTTATAAGCCTTGATCAGATCCCCCCTCAGCCTTCTCTTCTCCAGACTCAAAAGACCCAAGTCCCTCAGCCTCTCCTCGTAAGAGAGATGCTCCAAGCCCCTCATCACCTTTTGTAGCCTCCAGTGAGCCTGTGTCTTCTCCTATTGGGGAGCTAAGAATGGGACACAGCACTAATATGACAAGTCAAAGTAGAAGTACTGATTCTCATAAGTTTTAGTGTAAAACCAGAATTAACTCATTAAAAAATTTAAAGAGCACTTGCAGAAATGATTTGTGTTGAGCTGATGATCAAGTTGCCTGCCATATGTAAACGAAATGTACATTAGAAAATGTAACATTAGAAAAAGCTCTTATCCTGTCACTGCAGGACTGAAAGAAAAGTGAAAGTAATGTTGAACTAAGAAGGATCAAAACCAGTATACAATTCACTATGCCCTCTGAAGAAATTCTATTGTCTTTATCGAATGGCAAAGGTGGCAAACAAAATAGGCAATAATTCCCAATATACAGTGGCATTACTTCAAATCACTGGAACTTGTGCTACTGTTTCCTACTTCTTAGAAAACAACCCTCTAATGAAGCTTGGCTTTCCATACACAATTTTAATATAAGAGACAAGGCTTTAAGGTCTTCATAAGTAAGTGACACCACATAAAAGGAAGACGTTAAGTAGTACTGATGCAAAGAAACAGTAAGAACTTTATTTGCTTATGCTGTTAAACAGAAACTTCTGGCCACCGTAGAGCTTTTGTCATACTGCACAGGTCTATTATGCCCTTAAAACAAGTCTCATTAGTGTTAATAAGAAATCTACAACAAGGAAATTGAACTCCTTCAACTGATAATTTAGGAACTCTATTTCTTATTAGCATCTATTTGTAACATGCTGCTCTAAGTAATTATTTACACCCAGGAGCATTTTAGTTATTGCTTCTTAAAAAGGCAGAAGAGCTTGCTTACTTTTTAAATAACATTATCTGGACTAGAAAATTTCCATATTCCATCATAAGAAAACGTTAGATGTTTTCTACCAGTAAAAGAACATAATACTCACTTTATTCTTTTATTCAGAATGCCTTTACTGTAGCATTTAAAGAATCAGCTTAGAATGCCTTGCCTGAAACATAACCCGAGACACACCAGAAAATGGGAATTCTATAACAAAAGGGTCACCTCAGCAGCATAAACAGGGAGTGGACTGTGATGACATGGATGAAATAATCAGTAAACTCTCAAGGCCACATGGAAGACGATGGAAGGAATCTACACAACATTATGAATAGCAGGTAGAAGATTCTGGAAATAAATCAAGACATACAGAGAGCCAACAGAAGTCAAGAACGTGATGCAACACAAAAAAATCTAGCAGCAAGATTCTGTTACTTTTGATTTTAATGTGGATATT